TGAAAGCTGCCACTGTTGAAGGGATTTAACCTGTAAAGTACAGAGAGAATTTCATTATGAAATCCAACTAAGACAGTACTTTAATTTCTAGAATATTTCTTGCAATCAGCAACAAAGTTGTAGCGTAAAATTTAAGACTGAGTGAACTACCAAAAGGTTTGCTACACCTTTAAGGAAAACATCTTCTTCCCACTGTCAAATAATGGCTTTTAAACCTACATGCCCAACACTGACAGCACACAAGCCTCCCAGTTCAAGTACTCTGGAAAACGGAATCTGCTCTTGAAAACAAAAAGGGTGGGGAACATTTATGAAATAACCAACACTTAAGAAAGCAGCAAGTCTTGGTTTTGGAAAAGCAGCTTACTAGAAGATGTATTACTACAACTTTTCTACATCAGAAATGAGTTGGTCACAAGCACACAGCTTGACACCATTTCATTTGCCCATGTTATCCCACAGCCACATCATTCTTCACATTTCTGCTACATTCATTCAGCTTCCCTTGAATTTCATCTTCCTTCTCATACCAGGCTATGATTCCATCTTTTGTAACAAAACCAGTGTTCCTGCACTAACACCTCTGAACAACCAGTACAACAAACAACATGGCAATTAGATTCTAACAAGCCACCCAAGTCATCATTACAAAACAAATGAAGAGCATTGACTAATTCTTCAGGATCCACAGCATGAAATAGTGCCTTTCAAGTCTCTATGTGAGCAGAAAAATAAGGGTTAAAACTATTTACCTGGTTCCAAAGAAATCTGACAGCTTCCTCCTGGACAAGCCTCTGAATCTTATCTTCCTCTTTTTCTTTTCTCAGTCTGAAAGAACACACATCCAAATGTATGCAGTTTAAATAAGCAACATCTGGGTAACACAATCAACAAGAACACATAAAAATGCCTACTTGTATGGTATGATGTGTGAACACAGAGTTTCTATAAGTTCACTGCAAGCTCAACTTGATGTGCAGAACTTTTGTCACTTCTGATGGTAAAAGAACCTGTCAGATCACCAGTTCCCAGGCTAATTCAGAACAATATTAACTAAATCTGCAATTTGTATCTGACAAATTGAGGAACTTTGATAACTATCAACTCCAAACATGGATTCATAGAATCAAAAAAAATACAAAAAACCAAGCCAGAATTACATTTTAAAATTGTATCATGCAAGGCAGAGAGAATTCTTTTCACCAGTAATAGAGGAATGATTCTCAATATAGACACTTCATTTATAGGCTCTGTAATTGCTAGGAAACAAGTTTTAAAGGAAGTCATGCTTAGCAATTTCTATTTTGGTTATACAGTGAAGCATGCCAGTCCTGCAAATAAAGGAACAGAAAAATATATTCTAACCCAACCCACTCACAGAAGGCACTTGAAGAATATGAACAGCTATGTGGATAACTGCTCTTCTCTCACAGGAAGCAATGCTCTGCTGTAATCACAACTTTATATTACTGATGCTAGGTTCTCCTGTGAGCAGTTATACTCGGATCCCCTTATACCTCTTCTGAAACACCCCGAGTTCATTCAGACTTTAAAAATACCCATCATGAGCTCAGCTTACTTTTCTATTTCATCAGTGAGGCAGAGGATGTGCTCCTGCATGCGGCGCAGCCGGATCTCGTACCGCACCTCCTTGGCCCGGGGGTGGTGGCTCCTGGTGGAGAATCCTCTCCAGCAGGCCTGAAGCTTGGTAGCTGCTTGGCTCATTCTCTGCAGCTCAGCTGTGCCTTGAGCGACAGCAGCTAACGAATCGCAGCCTTCTCCTGTCAGCTGGCCAGGACAGGGAGCTGCAGCTCCTGGTTCAGCACCGACTGAGGTGCTGGGGGGACTGAGCAGAACTTGGTCTTCAGAGGATGCTGAACAGTTGCTAGTGTCAGCAGTCAGGTTAGCTGTTGCTGGATCAGGTGGCAACAGCATACTCTCTTTGATGTTCTCTTGAGTTTCCACACTTCCCACCACTCCGTTCAAGTGCTCTCTGGTAACACAGGAAGCTTCTTGCTTGTTAGCTGTCTCTCTGCTGTTAACACCTCTCTCACATTCAACTGCTGTATCATTGCCATCTCCTAGGCCCAAACTGACGCCATGGAGCTTCAGGTCTGAAGGAGGAGACACTGGAGACAATCCTGAAGCAACTGGCATGAAAGTGGACTCTGAGGATAAAAGGCTGCTGTTTAGTTTGTCTTCATCTGTCTGTATATCTTCAAGATATAGCTCCTGGTGAAAACTTTTTTCAAGAAGATACGTGTTCTTTGCTGCATAGGAATGATCATCGTTTCCATTTGGTCCAACCCAAGAATTCCTCTGGATGACAGGTTCTAGATAGGCAGAAAGTCATATTTAAACATTGCTTCCTTTAATTCATAGGGATTGGCAATTTGGTTTAGAGAGTTAGAACCTGGGTAAGTAAGAAGATCTAGAATGACACTAATAACGAGAATTATTTCCATGTAACAACAAAGACAATAACTATTTACAGAAACATCCACAAACTATGCAAATACTGGGTATATTAAATTGCACAAACTGCCTCCTCCTTCAGGAGCTACACTTCTAGCACTTGGAACAGTCAAAGTAATAATTCCTTAGTCTACTGGATTGTGTTTTTCCACACAATAATCTTACTAGCATTCCGAGACATGAATGAACATGGAATTTATTTTTAGAAAACAAAGTATAACTTCAGTTTAAAAAACTCTCCAAAAATCAATAGAATTAAATAATAACAGGGCCTTGTTCTGAAATTCTCTCCAGAAAGCATTTGAGAAAAATATTTGTTTCCACAGGTTAGATCACAGTCTGAGACCAGCTTCTTACCTCTTTCGAGAGCCACCTGTGGTGCCTGGGCTGGGCTGCTCTGTTCGTAAGTAACTGGGGCTGTTCTGGTGGGAGGAGAAGATGTAGGTTGTCCTTCATTTTGGTTTTCATGCATCAGCTGCCTCTGGTGGAGCCTAAGCACAGAGTTCAAAAGGGTTTATGTTTTTTAAAAGCTTTTTTGGTCTGGAAGACATCTAAAAGAAATCGTGAGCTCCTTCAAGGAAACAAGCGATCGAATGGCTCTAAAAGAGGCGAGTTCTGCAGACCCCTACACCTACAAGACACTCACCAGAGTAGTCACAAAGTAGGAGACTGCACAGGCTGCTCCCATTTGGCATGGCAACTTTCTCAATTTTCCCCAGAAATACTATGTGAATGTCAGAGCACTTAGCTGGAAATCCCGGTATCAACAGGCTTTTATTAAACCTTCTCCTCTGAAACGTCCCAGCATTTCTGTAATTTCCTACTGGAGAACAATCCACATCAAGAAAATATACAGCAGCTCCTTCCAGATGCTCCCAAGTTTCCAGACCTTTGGATGAGTTGCCACCTTTCTGCTTACTACAACAGTTTTGTTGCCCAGCTTTCTGCCCACACTATGCCACCTATGTAGCCTGCTCCTCTAAGGTGGGTCTTCTGCTCTGATCTTTCTGCAAAAAAAGTCTGCCAATAGGTCCTGGGGAATAGGGTTACCTGTATTGTTATGCTTGCTGGCTTTTAATCCAAATTGGTTCACTTTTTAATGAAAGGACAGTGCACCACAGTAACTCTCCTCACCTACTTGCACAGACCTTAACAAAGCAGCTGCTGCTGGCAGAACCAGCAGGCTCGACAGAGACTCTGCTGACAGACCTGATGTGCAGGTAGAGGTCATCAAGTGCATCCCTTTGAGGGAACTGTCCCTCAAAGGACAATCTTAACTGTAAACCCCAGAAAGAACACATTAACAACAAAAAAGGGGCTCACACACCAGTCTGTAGTCTTAGTCTACAGTCAATAGTCTTCATTTACAGTTAGAAGGAAAGTTAATCTAAGCTCCTTTTTGAGGTCTTCTTCACCTCTTCTGAGGAGGAAAAAAAAAAAATCTCAGTAGGTAGTTTATTTTAATCACAGTCCTAATACAAATCACCTTCAGCATCCTACAGAACAGACTAAAAAATACAGAGAATTTGCTCCTGGATGGCCCAGCAAGCAGGAAGATACTCCTGCTGCTGCTGCTCTCTTGTCTCTTGTTCTCCTCTAGGACACACCCTGTACCTCCATTACTCTTCCCATCTCCAGTCCCCCTGTTGCTTTGAAATATTTATAAGGAAATCTTACCATATCTAAACCAATAAAAAGAATTTTTTTCTCAATTACATTCTCTGACAACAGAGAAACAAGAAGCTCTCACCTTCGCTTGCTTAGTATTTTTTCCAGTTTGGCATCCTCTTCAGTCTGGAGACCATATGAAGATATAAGAGGACAAACAGTAGCCAAGTACTGGGCCAGCTGAACGTGCTGCCCAGGTCGATATGATCTTCCTTTACCCTGACTGTAGAGCCATTCTGCTTTCAAACTGTTAGGAAGGGGGAAAATGGTCACCATTAATGCATGGCATAAAACCTCTGACTCTCCTTCGATTACTGTTCTTCTAGTGGGTACTTAAGAGCTAATCTACATATCTAACAACAACATGGAACATGTGCCATGCCCAGAGGAACTAGGAATTCCATTACTTATTCATGAGTAAAGTAGTCCCTCACATAAGCATTGATGAAACAGAAAGAACCTTTCACTGAAACTCTGCACTCCCTGTTTTATCTGTGTGCAGTCTCTGAGCACAGAAAACACATTTGTGTCAATGACTTTATCAGCCAAGCTTTCCCAGAAACAAAGTTCACACAGACATGCAGGAGAGGCACAGAGAGCAAACCCTGCTGAAGGCATTCAACAACTGAAACCTGTTTTTAAATTAAATGCAATTAAATGCTCTTCAGTCCGAGAGCATTTAATATAATATATCTATACATAATAATATAGTTAATAGACAAAACCCCATTAGTCATGAAAAAAAATTTTTAGAATTCTTCCAGGCAACTTCTTGGGAAAGTTGTAACGTGATGGTCAAGCAAAATTGGTTTATCTTTGACCAAAAAAACTCATATTTTTATTTTAGTAACAGGAAAAAACCACACGAATGTCCTGGAATATGTTAATGTATTAGACTAGAACGTGTTTCTACTGAATAATAATGATGTTTGGACTGTTCTGATGCCAAGAACTTTAAGGTATCATACAGATATCACAGTGATAAAATGACCACAATGATGCAGTAAGGAATGACTTGAGCAAAACAGTATTTGCCCAATTGATACAAAGAATGCCAAATCTAGAAACAAACGTGCAAATCAGACCCTTCACATGTTTGAGGTTCCCCCAAGATAACAGCTTTCATATCTGCTGACTTCTCATTCTGTAAGGAGTGACTTGAGCAAAACAGTATTTGCCCAATTGATACAAAGAATGCCAAATCTAGAAACACACGTGCAAATCAGACCCTTTAGAGAAATTCATGTTTGAGATTCCCCCAAGACAACAGCTTTCATATCTGCTGACTGTCTCATTCTGCAAAGTCAGAGGCAACACACCACTGATAAATTGCTACTAGTGTTTTACTTTGTAGAAGTGCTACTGTGTGTTGAATAACAAAATAAAACTTAACTTTATACTTCTACTTAAACTTGTGATCCTGCAGAATAATTCCAGTGCCACAGATTAAAAGTTCACAAAAGCAGCAATGTTAATCAGCTGCTAGCAAGACAAGCAGAATTTCAGATCATCAGCACTTCTCAATTTTCTGTTATATAAAAATGCAATTTCAGCTTAGTCAAACTTTATTTTAGAGATTTAATACTATTACATCACCTTTCCTTCTGAGAAATCACATATCCATCGAGAACTTTAAGGTTCAGACACCAGCTGACAATGTATGGCCTGTAGTCAAAGCCAGGGATGGAAGGTGTGGCCATCACACAAGGATTGTTCATAATTGACAGCTGTTCCAGCTGATGTAGAGAGGCCAGGAAAGACACCTCGAGAAAAAAATCCCTGTTTGTTAACTGAACAGAACCCACTGAATGCTTACAGAAAGTACCACATTTCTCATTGTTACAGCTAGACATCTCACACAAACTAACAAAATCACAAACACATGGAAAAACACAATTTGCTTTTTGAACATGAAGATCTTGAATGGGCCCTGTATCAACTACTGCCATTTTCCCATTAATTCTCCTCTAAGTACTATAGCCCTTGGAAGGCATTAGCTTCTCTTAAAACCTGGGAATGGGGCTTTATCCACAGGAAGGGACAGTATTTCTATGATTCCAGTTCACTACAACAGGCACTGAGATTCTGACAAAAAAAATAGTCAGGCCAAAAAGCTGGAGAAACCCTGTCCTGTTTTGAAAGGAAACTAATTACCCAAGTAAAATTTTTCTTCCAAGGTGGAAGTCCAACTGACAGTTTCACCTGCTACTTATACTTAAAAAAACTCACAAACAAAACAAGAAAGACAAAAGTCACAGGCAGAATATTTGTTTCTCCTATACAGTGTTTGAGAAGTAGATAAAATAAGACACAGGCCCCAAAACACTCAGTTACAAAAAGTGCAGCTCAAAGCTCTGTTCTAAGCCTTCTGCAGCAGTGGATCAGCTCAGCTTTCAATCTTCAGACAAACATGAAATGCTCTCTGTCAATTTAGTCCTTCAAGAGTACTTATGACGTGCTTGAATACTACACAGGCATAACAAAAAAGCCCAAATTTCTTTCAAGGATAGATTTTTAAAAGCATCACCTACCTTGTGCAGTTAATGCAAGTATAGTTATTGCACAGGAACTAGCAAAAGTTACTTCTATCAAGACTGGCTGTTTCGACATCCTCCAAAGAATTATCCAACTACCTGCTTCAGCCTAAGGACAAGCTAAAGTATCTTCTATATCTTACCTCATTTAAGTCTCTGATTTCGTTTTCTGCCACAGACAAAACAGTCAGATTCTGAGGTAGGCACACGGGGGCGGTGCGAAGGGAAGTTATAATGTTTCCATGTAACATCAGAGTCTGCAAAATAAAAACATGGTGATGAAATGTTATGGTTTTTATCAAACATACATCTTTTGTTCAGGCAAGACCTGCACGATACACACAAAAGAACCATAACTGGGGCTTTCTGATACTGGCAAAATTATTTGTTTAATTGAAAACTGATTTTTTATATTTTAGGACAAAATCTTCTCATTGTAAAATGCGGACGTGAAGTATAGTCACAGAAAAAAATGCTTTTAAAAACATTTTGTCTCTACAGTGCTCATGCTCAAAGAATTAACACCATGTTTTGTCTTGATTCATGACATGAGGTAAGAGAAGAGAGCTATGAACAAGACCTCACTATGTTATTATTACCAAAATCATTAGAGGGGTATATAAAAACCACAGCCTCAGTTCCTGCAACTTGAAAACAAGGAAAAGAATTCTTACATGCTTCCCTCTAGAAAGGACAGTGATCAATTAAAATGCTTTAAGAGCTACTGTTTGAATAATGAATGCTTTAAAAGGCAGCAATTTTCAGAGCAAATTGATTTATAATATTTATTTATAATATTTATAATGTGAGAGAAAAAGAGATAAAATAGCATTTACCTTCAGTGATGTAAGCTTGGAGAGATCACCTAACTGAGCAATGTTATTGTCTGACAAATCAAGATGTTGAAGAGAGAGACAGGAATTGATTTGTTCAATGGCCTACAAAAACAGAGAGTCAGTTAATCACAGTAACTCTTTTTTAGTCATTAAATAAAACCAAGTATCAATTAAGTATTTTGAAAGTTAAAAAACACTGGATAAAAACAACCCAAAACAAAACCCATGTTTTTCCACAGTTTCATTTTAAAGATGATGATGCTTTTCCTATTTGGAGACTAATTCCCAATTCTCATTACTTTTTCATAGCAAACCTTTTATTTTTTACTTTTTGGACAATTCCTGTCCAAAACTTATGCTGTCCTATTTCATAAACCAGTAGATGCAAAACTTCAACATTTGTTCCAATCAGAACCAGGAACATATTCAGATTTCTTTGCATTTTTCCAAATTTGTACAACACTAGATTCTGGAAAAATGTATTGAGAGTAAATAATTTACCTTAAGGTTATTTCCTGCCAAGTTGAGCCATTCCAGGTGCACCAAATCCTTCAGCCCTTCCACATACCCAATGCTGTTATGAGGCAAGTTCAGCACCCGGAGCTTTGTCAGTTTTGCCACACCCATCATCCTCACCAAACGATTGTTGGCTACAGAGAGCTGCAGATTGACACACAAACAAAAGAAACAGTTTTAACTGTTTGAACAGAAACTGCACAGACAGAACAGGCTTTTATTTTTAGTGGTTAAAAATCAAGCCAACAGGAACTTTGTCAACCTAGACATTCCATTTTCAAGCAAATAACACAGAAAACTGCAAGAGCCATGAAATTCATTGCTGATGAAAGACAGCAGCCTTCCCAACTCACTCTGCAAAATCAAAAGGAAATAGTCCTAGCAACAGCTTAAATAAAGAAGAATGAATGAGGTATTGTGTTAAACAAAAATAAGGTTTTGAAATCAGAACTGCCAATCGTTGTGCAAATAGTTGCACCATTCCTGGTACAAAACCACAACAGCTGTCAACAAAACATACTTCACATGATTCTCAGAGAGGTCCCGTGTTAACAGGCCTGTAAGCCACAAACATTTTAAAGTATAAACCCTGATTAGGCATACACATTAATAATGTGATCACCAAACTGGCTGACTGGTGAAGGTTTGTTGTAGCAACAAACCCCAGCTCCTACCCTATCTCGGTTTAGCTTGTCTCTAGAAGCCATTAGGTGACTTCAAGTCTATCTGCAGTGATCATTCACATGGACTTGTGCAGCTTTGCCCTGAAGGGATTAATACTCCAATTTCTGCAAGCACCATGTGCTGGCTTCACATTATCTCCAACACCCTCATGAATGGGCTGCTGCTAGTATTAAAAATAAAAACAAGCACTAGCAACATCAGGGCCTACATGTATCCATGTTAACAAGAGTACATAGATTGCTCCCAATTCTCATTTTTTTAAATTTTCCATTTCTATTTTAACCTTATCTGTATGGCTTTTTAACTTCTTGTAAATGAAAGGTTCCTTTGTGGAGAGTTCTGAAATCCAAATGGAGAGGAGAGTCCTGTACGTATGTCTGCGTGTTCACAGTTACACAGATATTTTAACCTTATCTGTATGGCTTTTTAACTTCTTGTAAATGAAAGGTTCCTTTGTGGAGAGTTCTGAAATCCAAATGGAGAGGAGTCCTGTACGTGTGTCTGCACGTTCACAATTACACAGAGGAAAAATAAAACAAACTTATTTTTAAGGTTACAAAGCTTAAGCATTCAAAAGTACCAAAATTTGGGTTATCAGTAGTGTTCTTATGACACCCCTCCCATCAGATTTATTTAGTTCAATTGTAGTTACCTCAGTAACTAGCAAAACAGTCTCCCCCACTGTCAGCTGCAGAGCTAGACTGAAAACAAAGCTTTCTATTTTAGGTAGCCATCATTTTTACCTCAGTAACTAGCAAAACAGTCTCTCCCACTGTCAGCTGCAGAGCTAGACCGAAAACAAAGCTTTCTATTTTAGGTGGCCATCATTTATTCTCCTATGAAGACAGTAACTGCTAATTTACTTCAGTTACATAATATGGCCTTAAAGCAGAAGTGTTCAAATCAGCACCACAGTAACATTATTTCACAGCAAATTCAAGTCAAGTAACACTGACCTGCATCAGATTCCTGCATTTCTCCAAGTGCTCCAATTTAATTATCTGGTTTTTGTCCAGAATCAGAGTGTGAGTATCAGCATCACAGGGTAAGTTTGGACCCAGTTTTTGCAATCCTTGACCTGACCAGTTGACTACCAAACCTTAGAAGAAAAGGGGAAGGGGAAAAAAAAGAAAGCTGAAAGTAAACACTTGATATATATTAGAACAGGTAGTATGCAGCTGACTTGCAAATACAAATTAACTTTCTTTTCCATGTAAAACTGATGGAAATTACTTCAGACCAAGCCCATTAGAGTAACTGGATCAGATACTGGAAGATATAAATTCCAGGCCTTGACCCAATACACAATTCTGGTAGAATCCTGGGAAATACAGTAACAGATCCTCTGGAGTGGGAAGCAGAGCAAAATTTTGGTAGCTAAATTTAAAGGTGTGATCCTCCAAACCCTCAATTTCAGAAGTGCCTGAATTTTTAAGTTCTTCAAAGATTTCAGGTTCTGAGCAGCTTGACAACTACTTGTCTATGTGTAAGCAGTCTACCTAAATTCCTGCTTGTAGTCAAACACAAAACATGCCCACCACCCACTCCCAGGATCACACCTCACAAGCAACAACCGCCATGCCTATCACTAAAATAATCCCATTGTTTCACAGGGGAAGAGTCTGGAAAAAGCATAAAAGCAGTATTCCATCTTTTGGTCAATCAGAATGTGGGAAAGCTGATGCAAACCTACAAACTTCACTTTCCTGTAGAGTTCCATCCACCACCCTGCCAAAGGGATTGAAGATTAGGGCAGTTAACACATAAATCTGAGATAACAGTGTGATAGCCCTCAGCCAGAGGAAATAAAAGAAGCCTCCTCATGAACAAGTTCTCAAAAAGCTAAACCACTGAATAAAATCCTCCAGTCTTCTCCCTCCCCTAGCTGTATGTCAAAGGAAAAAATATAACTCACACCTTTTTATTTTTCCCCTGCAATTGCTCTCCAGGTGCAAACAGAACAGCAACTTCTGTGTCAGAAGTTGGATGCTTGAACATCAGAGAAGAAACAAACTTAAGATTCAACCCTCCTTTTAATACTTCCTGACAGATATTTTTTAAGACTTGCTCCCTTTTAGCAGTTTGGCCACTGCAGGACCTAATCTGAAGTATTTTAACTGTTCTAACTTATTGAGTAGGGAATGTGTCTAATTCAGAGCCAAGGATTCCACTCCATGACTTTGCTGGCCAAATCCCTGAGTGCATCTTGCCTTAGGATTTTGGTACTTGTGTCCCCAAATTGTAATGATAAACTAAACATTCAATATTCCAGAAAAATACCTAGTGAAGAGACAGAGCAAAGAGCCCATTCACATAGCCTTGCTACAGTGCTGGTGACATTTGGGCAGGAGCACACTGTAAATAGACTAGCCTATAATTTAATGAATGCAACACAATTAAATCATTCCATTCAACAAATGCTACTAGATAAAGTTAAAACGTTTGCCATCTACAGGGAACCTGAATCACTGGGTAACCAAGGTGACACCTGCTAATAATAGTTTTCAAGCATTAAGCTTCTGCTGTGCATTTTACATGCACACAGCATTCTAGTGCTTGCTCTTCTCTTACTATCTGCTCAGAAAAGGATGCTGCCTTCTCAGCAGCACGTTCCCAAATAGTGTTAACTCTGAAGTGCACTATATATTAATAGAGTCTGCAGACTTTTAGGGTTTAGTTATGCTAAGGACGAAGACAAACATTTTTGGCGTGTCATTCTGTCAGCTAGAGAATATGTTTTTCTAAGAAGCATCTCTGATAACATCTATTACATTTCAATTGCTTCTCAAATCCACAGCCTCCCAGAGCTGGGAAGAGCAGCAATGCAGAGCCAGCAGTGCTAGAAGCTCCTGTCTGCATGTTCAGGGAGAAGGTACTGCATGTTTCTCACATAAGTAGCCACCTCTGCAAACACTTGGGCGACAGAGAAATTTTTCATCTGCCTGCTTACTCAAAGCTTGTTAGAAAAATCCACAACTGGCCTATGCCAACCAAGCAGAGAGGATTGAACCTACAGTATTGAATTTGAGGTTCCCCATTCAAACTGGGGCATTCAGAATGCAGTTTTACACACAGTTCCTATGTCTTTCAAGAACTGAGGTACAACATGATTTGTCTAATCCTTACTTAACACACACACACCCATTTGCAAAGAAACTATCTTTCTGTGGTGTCATTGTCCACCCACTTTTGTACTGATCTAGATGTTCCTAGTGTCTTGCTGTAGTCATTTATCTATGATGCCAGACAATGGGAGGGTTTCATGAGTCTTAGAGGAGCTGGTGCTATCTTGGTTTTCTGGGAGCATCCTTTACCCTCTGTGGGCAGCTTTACAATTCGAAGAAGCAAAGGGCCCTATTTCAGGGGCTCTGTCCTTCTCCTTGCAATGTGCTTGGGTCCCATACTTTGCTCACTTAAGCATGACCATTCAGTATATTGCAGGAACTCACCCTATATATAAATATGTATATATACACACACATACCTTAAGAAAAATAATGATTTCATACAATAAAGGCTCATTGGTGTAATACTTTGGGAACGAGCCCAACAGGCTCAATACGCAGGAAAACGATTCAGAATTGCTTTTTACTCGTTTGACAGCTATGTACATTAAAAGACCTCAGAAGCTCAATATTTTTCCTCAAGCCTCTGCTCACCCATGGAACACCTAAACCTTCAAAGCCAGACTCGCATCATCACAACGCACCGTCCCTTCAGACGGAGCCAAGAAGCAAGAAACTGCACCCTCAGAGGCACCGTCGTCTCCCAAAATCTCTCTGCCCTCCACTGCAGGAAAAAGGGGCCTCGTTTCAACGGCAGGTGTAGTTCTGCAAGGCTGCGGGCCACCCCCCTCCTCAGGGCCCGGGTCTCGGCAAGATGGAGAGCCCCGCTCCGCGCCCTCCCTCCTCCTCACCCGCTGCTGAGTGCCGACCGACGACG